GATCTTGCTTTTAGCAAAAGACATAACTAAAAAGGGCACTAACCTCAAGAGCAGATGTGTAAAGGAGAAATTTATGTGATCTTGACAAAAAAAACAGGTATTTTACAAAGTTCACTGTCGCACCGTTAGGAAAATAAACCAGTTTGATATTTATAAACTGCGCACTTACCAGCTGCAATCTTTACCAAATTTTACTGGTGCATCGATCCCAATTTAGTTACATTACTTGCATAAGATATTAGGTGTTTCATTCAAACTTGCTTTTTATACAATTTGGACGCGATTTTCTGCAATTCAATTTTCTTAGTAATTTTCATCAATGTTACTTTAAATAAACTAAAGTTTATGTTCTAAGGATAAAGTTGTATATTTGTACAGATCTCCTTATCGCTTACGACATATGTTCTTGAGTTACTACGAGTTATAAAAACGCTTACATATACATTTTATTCCATCATATCGTAATTACAACAATCCAGTTATCTTAATTTTTTTAAACATCAAGAAAACAAATATTCTAAATTTTGATAAAGAGAGACAAGGAAAATATGTAAGTGTTGTTGCAGACAGCGAGAGCGGCGCGCGCGGGCGCGGGCTGAGGCCGCGAGGCCGGCCGCCGCGCAGATCACACTACATGAGGTTCTAAATACAGATGCATTGTTATTTTTTTATAATAAAATCCTATTTTACTTTAAACAGGTCACTAGTAATTTACAAAATTGTTTTAATTTAGGTTTTGAAAAATTATGCTTATTGTGAACATTTTTTACATTATATGTTGCTCTTTACTTGATTAGTGTAATGTGGCTGAATTTTATGATTGTAATGACCTGTCCCACCAAATTATAAATTGTCTGATAACAATCCAACGTGTAAAATATGTGTTGGAAATATCGGATTTTGATCCCTTATCTGACTGACCTCATATTTAAGCTATCTGAGCCTCTATCAACCAGTGGTGGGACAGGCCCTAAGAGTATTAGTGATTGTTTTTTAAGAATATTGATGTGTATAACTGGCATTAGGATAAGTTTAATGTCTCCTTTACGTAAATACTATGACTCAATGGAGTAGCTTAAACTTATATTCAATAGTGTTTAGAAGAAATAATTTAAATGATTTAGCCACTCTAGGCATCTTATATTAAATAGACATTGATAATAGATATTAAATATTCATCTCGTATTCAGTAGCATAACCGGCATTTTTTTATTTGTGGTACTAGTGTAAGAACATTTCCGAACATTAGTATTTTATTCCTAATAAATTTATTCCAACAAATTGTTGTTTTATTTATCCACATGAACATTTTTAAATTATAATATTGTAAAATGTTTGTTCTCCTGTTGATATACATGTATAGAAACATTTCATCAATTCCCTCAACCAAGCAGAGTTAGCAATATAATTTTGTCATTTCTTCCGACAGCATGGTAAGTAGTCTTTACCTTCAACACGCACTGTGTGCCGCATAATTAATTCACAATCAAATTATGCAGATAGGTAATGATTTTGTTTCAAAGGTCATTCCACTAATAGTAAGTTTCTATTGCCTAAATACATATAAGTAAATATAAAATAAACGTATTTTGTTGACAAATCAAGACTAATAGAAGTAGCCTATGTAAGACAACAATATAAAGCATAATAAAGCAATAGTCTTATCTGTCTATTGTTAAAACAAAGCAATTTTTAAATTTTGAAGTTATTCAGTTCCTTTTGTAGCTGAGTATAGGAAACTTTGAAGCAATAAGGAAATATAGATACAGGTTAAAGAAACAAAGATTTCTATTACCAAATAGAAATCTCTTCTGCTTGTGGCCCTTTTGCTTAATTGCTTTGTATGTGATCATTCATCACTAAAGAATGGAAAGACGGCAAATTGCAATGATTTGTTTTATGGTAAAAAAATTCATCGCTTTGCTAAATAAGTAGTTTTGTGAATAACAGCCTATGATTGATTCAATATGTGACTAAAATAACAATTTGGATTGGAAATCAATATCTCAAGTAATATTTCCTTACAATATCCTTGAAACTTAATGTAACATTTCCTTTAAATGTAGTGATAAAATGATGCATTGTAAAAGAAATAAACCTGTAACTGGTTGGATCTTGTGAAATAGCAGTTCTTTTTGGAAGCTGGTTTTACATTGTAAAATTTATATTTCTGGTTGCTTGTGAAAAAATATTTCCTTTATTTCACATACTACAGAAAGACAATATTTTCTCTACCTTATGCCAATAACATGATCTTAACACCCTTATATGCAAAGAGCCAAAACAGCGGTGGAAAATTAATGGTACTTTCTGAGTGGGATCGGAGACTTATGCCTGGTTTACATTGTGGCAGAAAAGTAGGCCAGTAGGTCAAAATTAGCACTAGTGTTATTGTAAAAACACTAACTGCTGCCAGTGATACCAGACAGTCCAGGCCAGGCCTGCAATACTTTCTAACTATAAACAGTACATTATATGGTAGATATTTTTACAGTGGTAACTCATGACAAATTTGATGTCACCTTACCCTAGTCAAAGGACCTGGTCAACTAGGGTGTGGTGTTTCTTATCTCAAATGATTTTGCTGTACAATTTCTATTGATAGAATTTTTACAGCGAAATCATTTGAGATTAGATTGTTTATGCATTGTTGTTTGTGAAATTTCAAGTAATCACATACTACACTGTTTGAATGTTTAACAATGGTCATATAGTAAAGCTGTTTGTTTAGATTTTATTGAATTTATTTTATAAGTATAAAAGGGGTACCAGTGTCTCATATTATAATTTGTTCTTTGTTGTTAGTCATTTTAGTTTTTCATGCAATACCAGTAATTTAGATCAACTGATAAATTATGATTAGTTACTAAAGGTTGATTAGTAAAACTTGATATCCTTTTTGTATAGCTTTATTGTTTTGTTACAGAAATTATTACACTCTTAATCAAACAAAGAAATGTTTTTGCCCACAATTGTGATATTTCTAAAATTATAACAACTTTGCATAAAATATGGAAATAAAAGTGGAAGATGCAAAAAAATCAAATATCACCATTACAACATAATACATCAATATTGCTAAGCCTTAATCCTAAATAGTCGCCATATGCAGACATATTCACGAATGACGGCGATAAATGGGTTTTAAAATTGTAAAGATATTAATTAATAACCATAAACATTTTCATCGGAAAATGCAATGTACAAGAAAAAGTCTTCATCGTGATGCTCTTGGTAGAGTGAGCCCATTGTAGCAGATGTGGGAGGAATGACGTTGTTAACGAAAAAGAAGAGCGCATCCTCAGGCCGAAGGTGGATACGTTTCCTGATCAAAAAATAAAACTGTCCAACCGTGAGATCGGATGGTACCAAATACTTCTTTTTGTCGAGGTCTCCTAGTCTGGCCTTCGGTGCTTTCTCCACGATCACTGGAACACGATCAGGATATTTCCTGCGTATTTTTTCGCCCTCAGTCTTCCTTTTCTCAAAAGAATGTTCTTCTTTGTATTGGAACTTCATTTTTGATCAAATTCACGCTTTAATTTCCAAATTGACGGAGCTGAATCAGAACTGCGACTTGTTTTTTGTTTTTGCGTTATTGTTTTAATAACGCAAACTCAGTGACGCAATCAGCTGATATGACAACATTGAGAATTTGCGATGTTTTATTCAACGACAAAGAAATACGCCTTTTTAAGATCAATTGCAAAATTTTTAAAGTAGGTAAAAAAAAATATCTAAAAATTAATGTACTATTTCTTTTTAAGTTTTTTTTTTCTAGTAAAATTATTGTCATTTTCACATAAACTATTGATTTATGGCAAACAAATCTGGCAATCAACTGGTTGATGATGGTTGTCTTTGGATTCTTCCTGCAACAAGAAAAGCGTCCGTTTATGTCTTTTGCTTGAGATAATTTTAGCACCTTTATTTATACTCTCGAACATATCTAATTCCAACTTTTATCATGCGTAAACGAAAGTCACTCAAAAAAGCTGATGATGACTCCGATGGATCGGAGCAAGGCGGTGAACCAGAAGAATTTCAAGATTCTGGTGAAGATTGGACACCGGATGCGGATTCGGTAACGTAGCTGTGTATTACTACCTCAATAATGATATAAAGCTATAGTGAATACAAATTAATATTGTGAATTATTAAATAACAATAACATATACTACCATTTCAATATATAGTCTTCATTTTCTCACGAGTTAGGTTAGGTTTCTGTATCGGCGTCATATTTGTTTTCTTACCCTTGCATTAATTTGTCATCCAATGTGTAATATCATTTCAATAACAGCGACGTTGCAGTTTAGTCCACGGTTAATCCCTTCTTAGTAACACAGTAGTCTACAATTCAAAAATAACATGTTCATTATTGATTGATTTATATGGATTTGCTGTGAAATAATTCGCTTATTATACCTTGTTCACTGGATTGTCTGCTATTATAAAACCATACTATTTATAAGCAAGCAGTTAAGAGTGCTAAAGTAAATAACATATACATTTATACATAAGTAAATATTCTTATTTTAAATAACTTTTATAGAATGAACAATCGACCAAAGGTGGTCGCAAACGAACTTCGCGAGCTGCATTGAATAATTCAAAAAAGAAACGCAAAAACTCTACAACTGAAGAGAGTGAAGGGGAAGGGGAGGAAGATGAGGAAGCGGAAGATGAAGAAGGCGATCTAGATGAGGAAGAGGGTTCAGATGAAGAAAAGAATGGTTCCGATGGAAACAAATCTGACTCAAGCCAATCTAAAGATGTACCAAAGCACTTTCATGTATGTAGACTCTTATCATTTATTGAGATGCTACTGTTTTTTTATTATTTTTCAATTAATGTTATTCATTACCATTTTAGTCTGGAAATTTTGTTTTGCTGAAATCTGATGTTAAATGGGATGGTGACACTGTTGTTTCAAAACTTGATGAATTAAATTTGTGGAAAATTGATGGAAAAGCACTATTACAAAAGTTTATACCTATGGAATCATGTGGAAAAATTCTTCACAAATGTACATGTGTGGTAAGTTCAATAGTTACAGCTTTTTTATTATTTTTTATTTGAAAAGACAACATACTTTTAATGATAATATATATATTTACAGTACTCTGGATGGAATGTTGACAACCGGGACAATTACTATCCAATAACAGAAATCTTGGATCGCAATCCTCGCACCGATTCAAAAGAAATATGTGTAGCATTGAATCTTAATGACCTAATTACAGTAAGAGACAAGTAAACATGAGGTTTTTTTACTTAATTCAATTAGATAAGTCAAAATAATAATAACTTTTACTTAGCACTGCATTCCAGATTACAATATGTAATTGATTTTATAAAAAGGGGATTAAATGTTCAATAAAGATTTAATTGTTCTTTTTACTGCTTAGGTCTGAATCTATTTCCTACCCTCTCCTATAAGCCTATGTAATAATGTCTTATCATGCATGATGCATGCAGACCTCTGAGCAACAAGTAATAAGCTACAACCTGCTCTTTATATGTTCCAAATATTGAATAATAATTACAGTAGTTATTAACATGGGATACCTTTCATTTGGTACTAGTTGGTATATCTCTTGTTATTCTAGATTAGTAGTCAGATGAAAGATACTATCAAAAGCAATCAATTTCAACACACTCCGTGTTTGAATATAGCTTCACCATGGTATTATGGGCGTCGCCAGGGAAGTGCGGTTGACCTAGATGCAAAAATTGTAAAATAACTACGTAAATTGTTTTCAAATATTAAGGTTTTCACGATTCCAATGACCAGTGTTGTTAGTTGACTTGTTGGTTGTTCATTTGTTAGAATAAAAATTCCTATTAATTCCCCCTTGACCACCACCCACCCTAGGTCAATGGCTGGCGACATTCGTATATGTATAATATGTTTTATAGTTCATACTGCAATTTGACTTCTAAGAGAGAGTTCCTGCTATTATAGCATTTGCCTCTCCGCCAAAATAATAGAAACAAAAATTACTAATACATATAAGTTGCGTAAAAAAAGAAATGAAAAGTGTCATAAGCCCTCCGTTTTGTTTATTTTCATGGATGATATCGACCGGGATCCCGATAGAAAGGCGGTATACATTTTATCCCTTGGTCCTAGTGATGGAATCAAGTTGCTTTTCATTTGGAGACTAGTATTTTTAATGTTACTCGCACTAGTAAAATTTTTGTCAACTCAAATTGATTCGAATTACGAATGACTCATTGTTTATACCGAACCGAGTAAGAAATTTCAGTTAATTTTGCTATGTTATTAAAAATATATTACCTTTGTTCTTTTGTTGAGTTTATTTCAGTTAATTTTAAAACATGTTAATTATTATTTAAATTGTGTAAGAACATAATCAAACTGTTATACTTGGATCTCATGAAAATTCACTCGAGTTTTATATTCCGAGTGACGGTGAAAAAAAAATCACTTGAGTCCATCACTATTTTGGGGCTATGTTTGCCCCAAATATAATTTTATATAAGCTGTGCTGATTTTGGTCTATGGTTGTTTTGATTGTCAGTGTTAGTGTCAAATTATTACTTTTCCGTTTCGCATTTTTTTGTGTCAATTGCCAAATTGTATATTCAATAAAAATATATCGATATTTTTTTTTTGTAATACAAGAATATTGGCAGTACTTCATAATGGCAGACGTTCAACCAGAGTTTCAAGGTAAATTGAATTGTACAAAATTACTCTTTCTTTAATCGTGTCATATAAAACACAATAGTGAAAGTATCTGAAGTTCATTCCAGTAAACATTAGTATAAAAGTTAAGTTTTACAAAGTATTTAAAATACCATTTTATGCATTGTTCACAGAACAGTACTGTGCGGTTTGTTTACAAATGTATGATCACCCAACTAAACTTCCCTGTGGTCATATTTTTTGCTTCCTTTGTACCAAGGTAAGAATATTTGCAATTTATTTTTATTATTTTCTACATAAGATTACATTTCCTGAATAATCTAAATTGCTAGTCATTATTTCTCTTGAGAGATTATGGTGTGTAATACCCAAACCTATTAAATGAAAACACCTTGAAGGAATAGCTTTTAAATACAAAATGATAAACAAAGATGTAATGAAAACTAATTAGTTGCAATATTAAGTTAGTTCGATGGATGGATTTATGTTTGTTAGTTTGTTGCCTAATCTGCTCAACCAATCTCAATGATATAATAGATGTAGAGGATAGTCTGGAAAAACACATACACTGCTTATTTTGTTCTTTTTTCTAAATGTAATGCGGACAGAGTTGCGGGCGAAAGTTAGTTCATTTATGTAAAAAAGCATATTTAAGAATGATAATGTTTATCAACAGGGTATAGCTCTGCAAAACAAGACATGCGCCATGTGCCGTAGTGTAATACCAAATGATTATTTAAATAAACCTGTTTTATTATCATACAACAAAAATATTGAGGAAAATCGCAATCAAGATTATCAGTGGTATTATGAAGGAGGAAATGGTATTTATATGAATTTTTCTCAATTATCTTTAAATAAGCATTAAAGAAGGGTGTATCATTTGTTATAGTGTGTGTTTATTTTTGTAGTACCTATTAATCCAATTTTAATTTTGTTAAATTCAGGTTGGTGGAAATATGACAAACGTAGCAATAGCTATTTAGAAGAATTGTACAACAAAGGTGAAAAAGAAGGCTCTTTACTATTAGCTGGATATTTGTATCGGATAGACTTTGATAAAAATATTCAAGTCCGTGTGAGTGATCCAACAAAAAAACGCAAAATACGACGCGACACACCATTCTTGCCTGCTAAAGGTTTGTCTTGACATCTATTACTCAATTATCCTTGAAAATACTCATTTGATAATGAAAATATTAAATAAAATAATGCAGCATACTGACTGTCCTATTACTTGATTTCGATTTTATTTTGAGTCTCTAATAAAAGTCATACGATTTTTTGTTGCATTTGTAATGATTAAAATAATTAAATTATATTTTATTAATGGTAGAAATTTAAATACTTTAACATTGTAGGCATTGCCGGTATTGATCTTAGTAGCAGCATTGAGAATCTGGAATCTCCAGCTGAAGTTCAAGTTTTAGACAATACGGAAAGAGATGAGGAAGTGGATACAAGTGTTGAAATTATTGACGAAAACTCTGCAGATGAAGATTCGTTCTCCGAGATGGTCCGTAATTTAAGGTACACCTTAAATATTTAAAGCATAACATGCTATATGTTAAAGGCACACAGTTACCGAAAATCTCTGGGTTTATTTATAGTAAGTTTTTATACTTTATCAATAATTATTTGTCATAATTTCAGTGTTCTTTCATTGGGGGAACAAGAATCATCAAGTGATTTCTCAGAAACAGAGAATCCATAAATATATTTATGCATTCATGTTTACAAGTACATATATAATTGTATAAAATAATATTAAATTCTTTTACAATACTCAATACAGAGTTAACATTGTTGTGTCACAAAATAAAATCTATTTCATTACTCTCAGTCATCTTATTTATTTCCCCATTCTCCCTGCTGTAGAGCTGAGGAACAATTAAGAGTTTTAACCTTTTTAGTGATGCAATTATGCACACTCTGCAGACCTTTTTTACTATTCATTTTAATTCTAAAGATACATCAACATAACTCACCTGTAACCTAAAGGGGCAAGCAGAGACCATGGACATTCATTACACACCTCTCGCTTCTACATTCACACATCCATGAATTTTATAAATGTTATTTTTTTTAAGGCCCTACTCGTAGAGATTGAAACAAGTCAGCAAATGTATGGAACCAATACAGAAAAAGAAAGAAGTGTAACCACCAAGAACTTGAAGAAGAAGGAATAGAGATTAAAACAAGGCTGGATTTTAATTTAAAAATAAATATAAATTCACAGCTTGCTGATTTTAAAGCCACGGGAAAAACCATCCCCATAACACAAAAAAATGTTACAAAATATAAAATATACTTAGATGTCTCTTAGTGAGAGAATTGGAACCTGAAATGTGGCATGTACATTATTTTCATATATTTATAGTTTATTTTATAATGACAAGAGTAAATATGTAATAGTAAGGTGCAATGAACCAAGACAAAGCAATATAAATAAATCTAAATCATGACAATTTTTAAGAATTTGTTATTCATATAACAATTTAAAATAATAGGTTTTTATTTTCTATTATATTGCAAATAATACTATATTGGTCACTTTACTTAAGGCACATTTAAAAGAATTGTCATGTGTTGTTTTATTTCTTACTATTTTTTGTTATTTGTCCAATTTTGTTGAACAACTATTTTTATTTCAAATTTATTTTAAATGTTGATTTCTTGAATAAATGATGGGATATTTTTTTTTTGTATCATTGATAATTTTCTGTACCACTCCAATTATGTCAGGTCCTATTAAATCTAAGGTAGTTACATTAACTTATTAAATCAACCTATTTAGCAGTATTTATTGAACAAGCAAGCTAAATAAAAAGGCCTTGTTCTTGGAATTCCATGGCAATAGGTTTGCTTTTCAAACGTCTGTAACACAGTTAAATTAAAAACTAAGAATTCAAATTTCAAATTTTTATTATCTACATCATTAACTACTTAACTTTATATCTAGAAAAACTACCAAGGCCTTACAGGGCTCTGGCTTGCATGTGTCAATATCCAGGTGTTGTGAGGTTTAGCTTTCATTGCCATCTGTTTGTGTCGAGGGTATTCAGCACAAATTACGTATTTCCTTTCATCACGAAAAACAAAATAACATGATTTGCAACGCCTTCGTACCCGCCCTTTTATTTTAAATCCACATACTGGGTTTATTATAGGGCTAGAAACTTGTAATAACTTTTTTCTAGTTAAGTCTTGTAGTGTACTAAAAAAATATGGTTTTACAATCGTAATTTTTGGTATGTTACTACTCAGTAGAGTTCGAGTCAGATTTATTATACTCTGCATATTATCTGTAAGAAATTAAATATATTTAATATAATTATTCTGCAAACAAAATTGATAACTTTTTTAAGAGTCGTAATGGTTAATACCTTAATTTCAAATTTCGGTATGTTTTTATAACAATGTAATTTACTTATCGATTAATTGAATTAAATTCGTAAAAATAAAATATTAAGTTAACCTCTAAGAAAAAATAGTGACATTGACAGCTGTAAGCAAAGAAACTGACATGACATTTATAAAGAGTATATAAGTAACTTTATGGTTACACCCTTTAGATTAGAATCGAAGAATTAAAAATATTTTTTTTTATTATTTAACAATAAATATATATGATTGTCTTGCAATACACGATAATTTAAAACACGAACCTGCTGAACAAGTTTAAGTATAGACTCCCTCATGTTCTGCGATCTTCTAGTATGCTTCTACTACCAGTAGATTTATTTATCGAGACATACACATGAATTATTCATATGAAATGTAAGTCTCGATAAAATAATCTACTACGAAAAGGCGGTGTTAAGGGCGATCGATTAGGTTTTCAGTTTAAAATTCTATAGTTTTACATTTAATTAATGAAAATATCGCCAAAACCTCAGTGTGCAGTATGACCATGGTACTTTAGCGTTAGACACTGGGCTGTACTTTGAGTAGTTAATTACTATGGTTAACTAGTTTCTTAGCTTGCAGAAAAGTGTCGTATTAGAGGTAGACAATCTAGCTAATAGACCTAAAGGGAAACTCCGTTAGCTTCCGCCCTCTTTTCTGCGCTTTAGAACTTACTGCTTCAGTGGACCATTGAATGCCCTAATTCGACCGCTTTATAGCGTGGAGGAAAATTCTAAATTATTCATTAGATATATATTTCGCAAGGTTTTTTATAAAACATTAAACCACGTTATGTTTTTACTTGGAATCTAGAACTGAAATACCCTTCAACATATGTAAAGAAGTGGTGAATTCCGGAACAAAGGACTAAAGAAACAATATGTTAATGCAAAGCATTGTTCACGAACGCCTCACATAACACGATTGCAAATGTATTCATTTCATAGTTGTTTCTGAGTCACGACAAGGGGAAGTAAGTAAAGGCAAGATATTTATTTTCTAATTTTAAAGTAAGTGTTGAAATAAGTAAAAGTTAAGTAGTTATCGTATATTATGTATGAAAATAATATAACAAAATGCGTCTACAGTTACGAGGTTAACGACTAAGAAAAGTTTACTTGATATAAATAAGAAAGTTTTTTTATGCAGAAGGTGTCTGCAGGACGACTACATGGTTTTGTATGAAATAAATGTAGAACACTGTCAGGGAACAAATAGGCTCCTATTTAAGTTTTCTTAAGTGACGTGCATGTCTACTGTCTTTACATTTTTAGGAAATCTATTTTCTCTTTTTTATAAGGGAATAAGAGGGCTTGGAATATAAAATGTTTCACAACTCTTCGAGTAATTCATTCTACAGCTGGGAAATGATATAAAAAAAAAATATCTATATTACACATATATCTAAATATATATATCTATATAAAAACGAATACAATTAACTTACTACTATAACCCAAAGGGGTAGGCAGAGATTACATACTACGGTAAAAATCGAAAACTGGCAGAAAAAAATAGTATCGATGACTAAAATGGTATAAATTGTATTTGAACTTTTTGACATATTACAAATTCACAAGTCATACTAAATTTAACTGTAATTTAATATAATCATACGTGAGTTTTTATTATATTTGGATTATCAGTTGCGGGTCATGATGCTGTAAGCACCGTGACCTCAGACCGTGATCTCCCGGCGCGCTCTCTGTAATCAAATGAACTGGCGATTCAGTTTAAGACAAACGTGTTACAGGTTTAAATCTAATATGTCTAAGACGAGTACTAAGTCTTCAAAAGTAAACAAAAAGGCAATTACATCTCCGGATGTTTATAAGCCTGTTGGACCTTACAGGTAAGAAGTACGTTATTATAAATTTCGATCCTTTTGACATCGACTTTATCAATAAATCGTTATGTCAACATTGTCATAACATGACTGAGGGTAGTGCTACAAAAGCAAGTGCATATACAAGGGTGTTTTGGTAATTATAGTTAAAAGTTCACATAAACATTATAACATATGATTTGGCATTAACATAATAGTAATGGTGAAAATAGATTTTTCTTTTTTGTTTTTCTTTCAATCTATTTTAGTCATCTATAGAGGTAAATAAAATTGATGAGCTGGAGTGCACATGTTACTTGAAAAAGTTGAACCATTTGATTATTTTTAACGAAAATAACGCTTCTTGACTCCGCAAAGGGTGCGGATATATAAAATCAATAAGAAATCGTTGAGTTAAAGTTCAGTGACTTGTAAATGTACCCTCGGCACTGTTCACGACTCCCACACCCCAACCTAACATTTATAAATATAATTATTAAATTTACTAAAAAATACCAATAACTAACAATTTTGAAACCGATTTTGATAAAAATTGTACATAGCCGACACCCTCGACCTCACCCTTATCTAATGAATATAGGCATCTGTAATTTTTTAGCTTGTTGCAGATGTTCACTGTTTCAATCGAAATCTGAACAGCAGCGGCTACTTCTCTAGTGTTACCAACTAGCCGCTTTCTCACTTGTCAAATAGTATTAGTCCATAAACTACAAATAATGTTCCTTGACTAGGTAGAGAGAGGGACTCGATAAATAACGGGTGGTGTGTATTCCAGCCAGGCGGTGCTGACGGACAAGACGTTGTACGTGTCGGGCGTCCTCGGCCTCGACACGCAGTCGAACATGATCTGCGGCGTCGAGGGCCAAACCCGGCAGGCGCTCAACAATCTCAAAAGTATCTTGGAGGCCGGCGAAAGCTCTCTTCAGGGTGTTCTAAAAACCACGATCTTACTTACTAGTATGGATGATTTTCCATGTGTTAACAAAGTATATGCTGAATGTAAGTCCTATAACTTATTTTAGTGGATAAACTACTATACTAACAGAACAATATATCTCAATAACATCATTTTAATAGTTTTATTGGTTCTCAGTGTTAAGATAGAACTGACGCTATATTTACAATGTGTTATCTGTATTCACTATCTATGGACAGTATTGTAATAACTGTCCTAATTGCGCAAGTCAGTCTAAATAACAATTAGCATTTTAATACAACGGGAAAATCATGAAAGGAAATTGTTGTTTAACTACAGGTCACTTCTCTCCTTAATTAGAGGTAAGCAGAAATCATCTAATTTTTCCTACTTTAATTTAAGTTTCGTTTGTGATTTTGTTTAAAGTTTTCTCCGACGTGTACCCGGCGCGATCAACGTTCCAAGTGGTGAAGCTGCCGCTCAACGCGCTGATCGAGATCGAGGCGATCGCTCTAATCGGCATCAAGGAGATGGCTTGTCCATGCTCGCGCTGAACACTCGCGGCTTAATTTGAGTTTTATTTTGTCTGTATTTATTTGATAATCTTCGATAAAAACTAGTTGCGCATATTCTTGTAAAATATAAACAATTTTAATGCATATTTGTTTATTTTTCATGTGAACGTTTATAGATAAAAATAAATGTGATCACTACGATAACTTTACTTTGTATATCCTTCAATTGTAAATTAATCCACTCGAAGAAAATCTTAAGATTAAAGGCTTTCGTGTAAGCCAAAACGATATTACAAAAATATAACCCAGTTAGTAAACTCCTAAGTACAAGATGAAAAATGGGTATTTTAAACTTTGAACTATAACGCTTGTCGCTTTATCAAGTACTCCGTTGGTATGTTTGGGGATCAGGCAAGCGCGTGATTTTTGATGGTTAAACTTAGATCGTAGTTCTCATCTGTTTCAGGACCTTTATGTCTACCACAATTACCTAACAACTTTGCTTGTCAAACAAAATCTTTACATAACTTTAACAAAATGTCTAAAATCTTTCAATTGAATTTCACATTTAGATGTGAAATTAGAATTCGCAAAAGACCTTCAGGAACTAATTCCTCAACCTGTATAATACCTTTGAAGTCTCAACGATTTACCAACCGCGGTTTATTGGGCACAAGAATTTTTCCAGAATAGAGTATTTTTTAAACTAATTGACAAGGTGTAGATAGCAAAAGAAGTAAAACTAGGTACGGTTTTTCTTTAGTTTTTACTATAGTACACTACAGTATTAATGACCTAGCCGCACCTTTTTATAGCGTGCAATAGAAATAATATACCTAGGCGGTCAACAGCGTGTAAGAATTAATGAAGTTTCACATAATCCTTGACAGTATTCAAATAGTGCATTGTTAAAGTTAAAAATTACATTCCTTATACATTTCTAGCCTTATATAGCCACAAGTAAAATGTGCCGCTGCCGTGAGCATATTGCTATGTAAACAAATTAAATCCATTTCCTCCCCTACGTCCGAAAACAGAGTTATTTATACTAATAACTGTTTACCCTAGCTAGTCCATAGGTTTATTTAATTAGAGAGTTATAAATAAAACATAATTAAAATGCATATTATGCTCTTACTGACATTATCACAAAAATGAAATCTCCATAACCTTGATTTAGCGAGCTCTATTTACTTAAAATAAGTGCCAAGGTAGTCACTCGTTAAGTACCGAGACGATATAAATAATTTGAACCTTTGTTAAGGTAACACAACAAAGTTCATCACTGAATTGATAAGCACTATTTTCTTCGCCGATTGGTGATGACGATGTAAATAGACCTTACGATACATTTATTTCTACCAGAATACGGACAAAAATGCATAATGTTAAAGTTCCAAAAGTAATGCTACAACATGGCTTGCTTACTCCGGAGGTGTTTATTTCGTTTTAAGCACAACGGGTGTTCCGTAGGAAATATCGAAATGAGTCTCCATATTTCTAATGGTGGCCATTGAATAAATATATTTCAGTATTGTTAAAAAATATGATATATTAAAAAATAATGAGTGCGAAATATTTTTAGCTCACAGCTTCGCTTTCTAATAATGAAAGTTGTTACGTGTAACATAAGTTTTGGATTATTCGATTTCAAACGTAATCCATACTTTAAAACTAGGAAAGCATATCTACTAATAGATAAATGGTTTCAAACTCCACATAGACGAGAAAAGTGTTTCTCGCATAAAAATATTTACGTCAAGTAAAAGAATGTTCTTACACTCGTTTATTTAAAAAGTAATGCGACGGGGGTGCGAGTGCGAGGTCATCTGAGTGAACACCCTCCCATAGCAAGAACGATACGATCTGGTAGAGGCGTAACAGCGTCGGAGGCGGGCGGCCGAACGGCCGGCGGCAGTCGCGCGGACGGCCTGAGCTCGGCTTGTCGGCTGATCACACTTATAAATCGTGGCTGAATAACTTTTAGCATTTGAGTCGCTTTTCGCATGTTCATCATTCCAATTTAATTGGCTGGCCACCCACCATGGGCTGTACTAGCAGCGCTCCGAACGTCATCGAAGCTCATACCAATTCTACAGGTGACCGTATGACACTAACTACTCGTACTGTTGTACTTTTTAGCACTTTGAATTATTTTACATTTAATAAAATTATTACAGAGCACTGATTTATTATTATATATCATCTTCTCGGTAATGGGCCATTATGCTCTTTGTTGTTTCATTAGCTATTTGAAAACATTAGCGAGTTAGGGTTTGGGCGTGCCGAGTGCTGAGTGAACTCGAGGTCAATGTTAAAGGTAAGACGACGCTTAATTTTATTCAATTCGCTTCACGCATGTAAAATAATTAAGGTTTATTACTTTGTTGTTTGTTCTTAATAAAAAGCTTAACATACACTTGCGGCGTAATTATTCGAAAAGTGCTTTACATTTCTATAATTTTTTATATGTTTGTTTCAGATAGAAATATACATTTTTTGGAGGACGAAGGTATTAATAAAAGTAATGAGAATGAATTGAATAAAGAAAATGGACTTTCTAAATGTGATACTGTTAATGATATACAATTAGATAGAAATATTTTTTATATACCAAACGATTCTACATCCACCGAAAATATCGAAGGTAGGTCAAGCTTTTCACCCATTCATGAAATTAACACAAAATGGTCCGTAGTTCATGTTAATAAAATGTGTTAAATAATTAAAATGATAACTTGCCGAGTCAGTCGGACCAGTGATGATTCTGGGAGTCCCTTTTCCCTTCTCCACATAGAAATAAGAATTAAGACTATCAGAGTAATATAATTACGTCACGATTGTTATTAATTTATTGATAATTAAACCGAATTAATTAAACTGCTTTTAAGCACACAAACCCAAAATATGCAAATCCGTAAGCGACTTCTATACAACTGCACTGCACTTCCCGAACAAGCCCGAGCGTTCGTCCGAATTAGAGTCTTTGAAATACCCTCTCGTTCGAGGAGAAAAATACAACATAATCAGTGTGTGCTACTATAATGTTACCCTTAATCATAAAAAGCAGTTGAAATTGTGGTGGTTGAAGTGCTGCCTATGAGCTAATAAAGAAGTAATAAATGTAAGGAGTAAAATTGCGTGATTGTTAAAAAAATCGCCGAAGTTACGTTGCAATTTACAACCTAAACTATTTTATAAAGTGCTGTTGTGGTATCATTGTTATTTATGATCACGTGATACGTTAAGGTTCTGTCGTCTTACGCTTATCAAAAGATACTTTGCATTTTTACGGAATTAACTACTTACTTTGAAAGAAAAATTATCTTCATAAACCGCTGCGTGTTTATAGAGTTAAAAAATTGAAAGAATTACTTTAATTTAAATGGATTATAAACTCTAGAATCATGAGAGAATTTTTATTTTTTGCCACAAGGTCAAGGTTGAGGGATAACACTGGATGCGGGCAGCAAAGTACCGGGCATTGTGGCAATCGATGAGGAGGCCCACGAGTAGTAATAAACGACGCCCAGTAAGACCTTAGGCTGATGATGAATATCGATGGACCCAAATAATCTCTTTAAATTTGGACGCTCGTATACTTTACGCAACTAAAAAAATAAACCTAAGGTTTTAATTTCACAATCGTACTGTTATAAAATATCTAAACTATTACAGGGGACCAGAACAAACAGAAGGATAACAATGAAACAAATCAAAATGATACAAATTACCGAGAACAAGAAAAAATAACAACCTTAAAAGAAGTCGTCGAACACGTTCTATCTAACAGTGTTTTGGAAAAGCAGGAAAGTGTAGAAAAGATCTCTTCTGAATCGAATCTTAATCAAGCAGAAGTTATAGAACCCAAGACTGAGACTGACATCCAATTGGAAGACAGCATAGATGAAACGACTTCTGTAGCAGACCCAGAAGAGATCAAGTAAGTTCATATGTACAAACTAAACCAAATAATGTCCTTTTGTTAGAACATCATTTTTGAATCTTGATTCAGAAAGTGGATTCCCTTCATAGCAAATACTTAAAAGTTTCAACTAGGGGCTAGAATGTTTATAAAAGTAAAAACATTTAGAAGGTAGTACCAAAAGACATACTTAAATAGAAAATGGGAGATTTTTGGAAAAAATGTTTCTTTTGTATGAAATATAGGTAGTCGAAGAAACAAATATCTCACGTTATGGAAATAGGTTCTAAATAGGTGGCGAATTTTTCTTGCAGGGAAGAAATTGAAGAGTTAGCAAGTCCTAGCCAGTCGGAGGGCAGCCGCGCGACGCGCTGGGAGGCGCTGGCCGACATGGCCGCCGAATTGCCGCCCTCGCTCACAGTCGACCCCATCACTGGACAAATTTATGCACTCAGCAAATAACATACCCATCCCATAACAGCGACATTGTTTATCATAGATGTTTAAATATTAATAATAACTTAATTTAAATTACAATCATTACAATTCTTTTCCTTAGTATTTTTTTTTAAATACCTTATCGGACTATAATATGAAATCCTATCTAGATACAAACTGATGGTAACGCACCACCAAGCCGTCGAGACTGAAGTTGACGGACCAAAAACAATAAGCAAAAAACTTACATCTAATTAGATTTCAGAATCTAACTGACCTAACGTCAACGTTTGAAACTGTATCTTACATTCTAGGCCTAGGTCAAGGACAAGCTGCGAGTTTTACATACGTTCCATAAGTTTATATGTTAAAGGTAATTGTTGTATTCACAACAATTACCGTTACGTAAACAAAACGTAAGTAGACGCTACTATTCCCATTCTAGAAGCGGCAAACAAAAGGAAAAGCTTATATCTTCGATTTCTGAATTATGAAAGCTATTGAAAAACCTAATTTTCTCCTAATCCCCACAGAATCGTACCACTGTTTTTGAAATGGTAGCTTAGCTAATTTTGCACCAAAGAGCCATGAAGAGTTTTGTAGACATTTATACATTCGTTTTTGAGCTAAAGTAAAACAATTTTACTTTTTAACATCCTGATGTTTATTGATATATTCGATTTAAACATAATCCTATTTTAGTTTCAGCAAGGCGTCATAAAAATAATAAAACATATAAACTGAGCCACTAAATGCCTCTTGTGCAGATTGTTTACTACATATATGTGAGGTATCATTACAAAACATATGTACAAGCACATATTGTTAACTATATGTTTTAAAAAAGAATGAGATGTTTTTGTACAAATGTTTTGTTTAATGGAAAATCACAGTTAACGATAGACTTCTGATATGAAACAAAACTTGTATGTTTTGCAATAACTTAGAGAACATCATTTTGTCTGCCAACTTGATTCTTAAATAAAAGTAACAATTGTTTTATATACTAAGTATTTTTGTTCAATTCTTATGAATATCAATAATATTGATATTCATAAGAATTGGGCTACCTACTATGTTATTAAATCAAAAGAAATGTTTACTTAAACATATACATCAAAAGTAATTCAGTAAAGGCAAACTCATGTTAAATCTTTAACTCTCATCATAGCAATACCATTGGTATCTGCAGTCCCACCAAACACAATAACAAACAAACCTGATAGCTTCAAACTATCCCACACCCTTTGTATCCATGCATCAATGTCTAGCATTTGATGTAATTCATTATCAACATTGGTTTCTAATTTAAGATGTCCCATAGCTAAGTTATATTCACTAACAGATTCAGTAAGCTTAGATATAACTTCTTCAATGCCATCAACTGTGCACAATTTCACCTTTTTCACCTTGTTCTTTTTCAACTGTGAATTAAGACTTTCTTTTGCTTGTGTCAAATATGTATGGTAGTCACCTGTAATATTGTCACATCCAACCACAATTGATGTTTTCTTCTGTTCTATTATATGATTAAAAATTGAAAGAGCATATTCCTCCTTTTGTTTCACTTTTATCATATTTTCCTTATACTGTTTTCTATTAGTATGTACTGCGTCACCAAATTCTAAATCTTTTTTCAGTTTTAACTGTACAACTTTTAAAGTGGCTATTGCATCTTCTTTAGAACAATGGCCTTCTTTTCCAGATTGAATAATTTCATTTAGAAATTCCCTGGCTAAGACCTTCAGCTTAGGTTTACGACACCTTTCCCCAGTGATATTAAATACTACACTAGTGTCTATAACATAGGGATGCATCATTTTTAAAGCATGTAAATCTGTATTCAAAGAATGACCAACTAAAATTGCATCAGGAGGTAATAAATCTCGAATTTCTTTTTGAACATCTTCTAATCTTTTGTCAACATTTGTCAGTAATGATGCAGTAATACCAGAATACTTTGTTAAATAATCAGTTATATCATTGTAAGGCTTAACTAATGTTTCATATATACTTTCATGTTTCTCATTAACAATTGTAACCCGAGTTAATTCTGAACCAGCATTTGTTAGACACATTTCACAATCTAAACCAAACATTGGTGATTTGGCTGTAACTGGTTTATATTCCTCTTTTGTCAATACATAATCTGCATATGCGTTTTGTAATTTACCTTTCAAAGGTAAGGGATAATTGTCTTCAACCAATTGCCAAGCTGACAAGATGAGTTGTGTTCTAGGATAGGCATCTTCATTTGAATAATCAAAATTTTCACTATTACCATCTTCAATTGGAAATACCGCTCTCATCATAACCATCAAATCTTTTCTAGCTTCTAAAGCTAAATTCATACTTCCATATTTCTGTATAATAGCTTCCTTATCATTTTCAGACAAAGGCACTAAAGCTAACTCTTTAACAAGTGAAGCATTGTATACAGATGGAGTAAGAATTTCTATTTTATGCTTGAAGATTTTATTCAAATTTATCATTTGTTGCTGATATTTTTCCCAGTGGTGAATAGAAAGACCTTCTAATATGATGCATGTAGTGTGACTGATATGATTACCCTTATCCAGAACATACCATCGTGGAGGTTGACTCAAATTAATATTACCAAATAGGGAATGCAAAAGAAGATGCTGTATGTCAGTGAGCATTAATGGTATTCTTTCTTCTTCGGCTGTGATTAAAGATGCAATGTCTCCAGCAGGCTTTAATCTGAGGTTAGGTATGTGTTTTTTTCGAACCTTTTGTAACATCTCTATTGCTACCGGTTTCTCATTTTCATTTTCTTGATCTGTAAAGATGTAAACAGGTTATTTATAAATATAAAGCAATAAGATTCACTGGGATATCTGCATCAATTAACAAGTGAGGTATATGGTGGTAGTCAAAAAAAATGCTAAGAATTGTCGATCTTTACCTGCTGTATCTAAATTTTTACGGCGCTTCTTTTTAACAGGTTCTTCTGGACCTCTATCGATAAACATTATTCAGTTCAGAACAATATTACAGCAAAACCTAAGAAGAACAAATTATAATATTTCGAAATCAAACGAAGAAAAACACACCACTACATGTTATTGCAATGTCACTGTCAATCAAGTCAAACGTCACTGTCAACTTATAATTGTCTAATGTAGATAAAACACAGCATTCAAAGATATTTTTAAACCGAATGATAAGTATTTTTTTATCAATTCGAGACTGTTTGGTGTAATGAAGTGCACTTAAATAATTTTTATGGCACTTATTTTAACAACGCAACAAATATCAGCGAGTTGCTTTTTTGTTCAAATTAAAATTGCTGAAATTTCAAAAACTTTATTAAGCTTCTTAAATTATTAGAAGCAATTATTTGTTAATTTGATTTTAAATTCTGGTAAATAATATTTCTCGCTTGCTTTCTAGCATAAATGTCTAGATTCGCTCTAAATGTGTCGAAACCTTTTATTGCCCTTGATTTATTCATGATTTTATACTCTGTATTCTAAAATCATGAAGGTTGGATTGTTATTTTATTATGTAAACTTCGCAGTTCGGATCTCTCTTTTACTCTCGTGAATGTTATATGCTCACTAGCGCCTTTCATAAAATTAGTCCGTGATCCCAACAGAATAAACATTCATCTTGTGTCTACTACCTACTACTACTACCTACCTTGTACCAAACTGCTACTATTTTTTGCAGAGTCGGTGAACTTATATTTGGTTAAGATCTTAAAATACAATGGATTCAGCGTTACGTGAACAAGTTATGATAAATCAATTTGTGCTGGCAGCAGGATGCGCTCGAGAACAAGCTAAACAGTTACTTCAGGCTGCTCATTGGCAATTTGAGGTAAATTTGAGTAATACATGTAAACAAACAATTAAATCATGCAATGGCTGCTACATCACGTTTATTTTGCTATATTTTGCTAAAAGCGATCTTGTTTATAAATTGGATCCATAGTTATAAGACACCATCGAACCAAAACGCATTGATTGTCGCAAGGGGCACACTGAAACCTGTAATATTTTTTCCTTGACTGTCAAAAATAGATTTACTTACGTCTTGATAATGACAAATTAAGCGCGTAGTTTGTAAATAAGCTAACAATAACAATTGAAGTGTCAAGGAGCAAACCACATTTGTTTATCTTGTACTAACTAATTCAAACATTTCATCACTTAAAGTTTTCACATATTGAATTAAACACATTGTTAGCTTTATTTCCAATTTCTTTAAATATAGCTCTTTAACCTAAGTAATATATGTTGATTTTTCTGTAACCTTAATTTTCTATAAATTTGATTTTAGATACATAGTGAATTTAAACAAATGAAAATGTTCTCTTTTTTAACTCTCTTAACTATGAAATTGTTTAATTTTCTTTTTTTATTTGTTCATGCTTATCTTGAATTTAAAATTTATCACTTTGCTTTATACTTAAGTAAAAATGTAGAACATCAACACCATACATTGAGGCTGTTGGCACCATTTGTGTCTCCATTGTACTTGAGCCCAATTATATTACAATGATACTTGACATTAGAAACAATGAGTAAATTAAAATAAAATATGTTTAATATTAAACTATATTTGCAAAGTCCCTTTGGCTGATGGCTTAATATGGTATCAAAAAGATAGACATTACATTTTTTTATATAAAAATAATAATGAATCATGTAAACTAATACAGTTTCTAAAGCAGCAGTAATTATTTAATGTCAGTTCACACAAAATACTCTTAAGTAATATTATTGTTACCTAGTTTTATAACATTAGTCAGCAAATATACTGAAACAAAAAATGCCATTTCATTGTTTTCTTTGATAAAAGCAAAACACAAACTGTTCTGTCTGCTGGTTGTAGTCACTGTCCTTTTCCTTATACATTCTCATTCTGTAGGATATACTATCCTATTTATAATTATAAAAGTATTTGCACAATGATTTTAAAAAGATTTTTATACTATTTACAGACAGCCTTATCAATATTCTTCCAAGAAGTTGCAATACCATCAGGAGCGAATGGAATTGCTGCTCAACATTATCACCAGGTCAGTAATTGACATGCCACATAAATGAGTTTTTAGTAACCTTTTTATGACATTTAAACTTTACTTGATCCAAAACTAACAATACTATTCAAGAAATAAGTTTTAGTGATTATTGTGTTATGAATCAATATTTCAAGAACAGCATTTGACTATGTGATAAATTAATTTTCCTTAGTTATTCTATAAAAAGCTGTTTGATGATCAACAACAATTTTGTTTACAGCAATTAATAACTCCGTGTAACACTCCAGCGACGCCGCCGAACTTTCCAGACGCATTAGCTGCGTTCTCTCGTCTATCGACGACGGGCAGCCCGGGCAACGCCAGCGGCGGGCCCGTGTCCCCACTCGCCACACACCCGCCGCCGCACCAGTACCAACACCAGCATCAAAACCAGCACCAGCACACTCCCATGCAAGTCAACACCTTCCAGAGTCCGCCCAATCCGCAGAATAACTATGCACCGCTCTCCTGCTCAACTGCAGTCAGTATACTTCAATGAATCTCTTAAATAAATACTTTATCAGCAGAATATTGAAACAAATCTTTAACATTTTGGTTTATAAGCGCAAATTACAATCTGATAAACCTGAAGATGTGGAATTTGGAGTTCAAGTATTACATTATTGTTACATATTTAAGTATTGTTTCAGTATTCAGCCATAAATTTGTTAAAGCTGAATACCCTCATTCTAGGCAATTCCTATTATGTGAAGATTCTATTGCTTTATATAAATTGTGGAAAATTTTAGAAGTTGATTTATGTATTGTTTTATTCATATCAAATAATATTCTCATAATAACATTAAAATTCTTTAAAATGTAGACTAAGTAGTTTCCACTGTTTATAATGTTTAAAAATTATTTAAAGTACACATTGCCACAGTAAAGTTAAGTGCTATATGCTTGTTGCAGTATAACTAAAAACTAAATAAATAGCACATTGTAAATAACTTGAAAGATCTGTATGGTAACCTTAATAAATTTAAATATACACTCAATGCATGGCATATGCTCATGTATGCATTTGATTTGATTGTGTTAAACAAGTAAAAAAAAATGTAAAAGAATTTCAGTATAGCGTGAATTTTATATCAGTGGTATAAAATGTCTTATTTTTATCAATTTATTTATGTTTCAGACAACTGAATTAGTGTCCATAATATATGTAATACAATATTAAACTTAACACAAAATTATAAAAGAAAACTCGAATTTTATTTACTTATAATCAAGGGTGGTTGAAATTAATATCAATTTATTGAAATTTGTATAATTTTCAGGTGTGCAGAGAACATATGCCAAGATAAATTGCTAGTGAGAGGTTAGGAGCATCTATAATTTATTTTTGTAATGGTGCGCAATGTGAGCTGTGGACTTGTGTAATGTTATTTTCCGGACGCCCCACTGCACCTTGTTTGCTGGACAATATTTGGGGTGCTATAGTCAATCATGTTAAACATTAAAATATTCTCACTGTTTATATAGTGGTTTCTAAAACAAAATGCACTATGTATAATATGAATTGTGTTTTTGATACCTAATTGAAATCTTTATTACCTGTGATTAAAGAAGTTTTGGTATCAATAATATGTAGTGGTATAAATGTAATTATTACTGTATAATATAAAAAAGAAGAAATTCAATGTTATCTTTATTTGACTTCTGTTTTGTCCTTATCATTTTTAATTTTTACAGACATTTGAAATTAACAATCCCTTAGTTAGTAACATTAATATGTTTAGAATTTCAATTATGAATTTGGTAGCTCAATTATTCACAATAGGAATGTTAGCATATAAATATTGCCAGAAGAAATACCTCCAAAGCAAAAGTCCTTACATAAAAGTTATTTAGTGGCACAAAAGATAAATAAGATGCTCATCTATTGTTTAGTGTTTTTTCCTACTTATGATTCATCAAAATAAACTCTAGATATAAATGTAACTCAATCTTACAAAATTTCCATATATTAATGTCATCATTCTCATCAGACTTATTCCTCAAATAAAAATAAAAAACAGTTCATTAAATAAATACTTTTATTAGGCTACAAAACAGACATAATTTATCTATTTTAATGGAGCCTCAATTATACTTAGAGATTATTATCCACAACAAAGGAAAACTTCTAATATACATAGTATTTTATACCAGCACTGGGAATCACATTTTAAAAACATCAAAACAAGGTATATGTTTATGCAAATCATTAAAGAAGTTTAATGTTAAGTTGGAATCCATTTCAGTGTGTTTACTCATCCATTGTCTCCATTATTTTATTTGGTTCTAAATTATTAATAGACTCTTTGTCAGAAGTGGATTGATTATATTCACCTTTATCCTGTGTTATTACTTCCGATTGCATGCACTTTTTGAACATAAACTGAAAATAATAGGAAATATATTAAAATATACAAAACGTTGTCTGGAAAAACACTGTTTACTTCAAATGAGCAAAATTTGGGTAATCAAAATTACCTCATAAAATGATTCTTTTTCATAAATCCAAACACATATAACAGATAGAAATGACACTATAATTGAAAATAGTAGATAATTTGAAGAATATTTATAAACATTAACGAAAATATGACAGCCGAATTTATTAAACATATTTTTGCGAATCAATCTAGATGGATATGGTAATTTTTCCTATTGTTTTGAATCCTACATGTACTTATACAAGAAAGTTAAAACAATCTACACGTTGTTTTTTTTAACACAAATGTAATGATCGATTTCTGTGAATTAATTTGTAATGCTTTTCGTTGAAGTGTTGACTTTTTCCGCAAAATTCAAAAATTGATTTGACAGCACACAGTAGGGTTGTACTGTATAATTTATTAAGAATCTTCGGCAATTTTTCTCATAAAACTTGAAATCGAGTCTCTAGACACAGGATATCGTTAACTAATTTTCTCCACCAACAAAACCAGACCCAAGCACTATCGGCAAAAAAAAACAGAAACATAAATGATTTCTTAAAAACGGGCTACGATTGATACGTTGTCGAAGGTGATCAAAGGTTGATATACCACTCCGTTGAATCAACACCCATCAGTAATCCACTTTGCCTTTTGTGAACACTGACCTCTATATTCCACTAGACAGGCCGTGGCGTGATATTTGTTTTTTATGATGAGTGATAGTGCCTAACGATTTTGTTATTTTTAATAATATTAGCAGACTATCAGAAATTTATAAATTTTTATTTTAAATGTTCCAACTGTACGCTCTGTAGTTTGTCTAAATAAGGCGGATTACTTCGACTAATTAGTATGAATGATGTGTAAAATCAGATATAAATATTTTCGATTTTTACTCTTATAAAAGTCGGAATCGGTAGATTTATAGTGATACCATATGTATCAAATTAAACTGTTCTTTCATTCGGGTATTCAAAGTCGAATCAAATATAGATGCACAGAACAATTGCGAAATCTATAATCTAGTTTTGCATTTTTTTCAATTTTCAAACAATTCTACTAAAGGAAAAATATGTTTTCAATCAAACTTTTACCTTCCACTATAGGCTTCAAGGGCGTAAACAAAAAAAACCTTTGTAAATACTGTTTACAAAATATAAGTAGAGTCTGAGTGATAGAAATGAGGTATTCGAAACTCCAAGATAATAAATATAGACAAGCTGTTCCAGCTTTTCTGGAAACACATTATGAACTAATTAAGTAAAAATGTTGGTTTTTTTTCATTACTTTATTAACCAGGTTTCGAAACTTTAATATCAAATATGAGTTTGTAGTAACATTTATTAAACTAACCTATGTTAATAAAAAACATCATATTGTAGATTTAACTTTAATAAGAAATTTTACAATAAAATATTTATATAAACAGTTTAAATATACATCATTTCAGCCATTGATGACATTTTCTTAGGTATATGGACAAGAGTTTCAAAGTAACTGGCCAGTTCATCAATTGTCACATCGCAGGGTGGGTTGAGAGCTTGTTGAGAGCAGGAACCAGCTTGGCTCAGCTCTGGACTTGACTCTTTGCTAGCTTTATCATTTGATACTTCATTCTTCCACCATTTGGCTTTCTCATATGGCTCTGTTCTAACAATGGTGGTTTCATTGTTATCTGAACATAAACTCAACTGGTTACAATTATCCACAAGTGTTTTTAAGCTTAAATTGACTGTGTTCAATTTATGAATTGTTAATTTACAATGATTCAATAATCCCCCATTTATTAATTGATTTTTCTCAAAATGTTTTGATAGCTTTAAAACTGGTTCACGTAAGATAGTATGATTTTTGTTTTTGCTGATTTTAGCAGTTTTATTCTTTTTGTGAGGTGAACAAGCACATTTATAGTTTTGGACACACAATTTTGCAGCAGGCCATTTCTTTTCTAGTGAAATGTGAGTAAAAGGATTTTTATCCTGCATTTGCTTATTAAGTTTTGTTGGTTCAATTTCTAATCTTCCCATTTCCAGTCTAAGTGATACTTCTTCTCCAGCCATTGCTGACTTAACTGGAAACAGTTAATGTAAAAAATAATTCCAAGAGGTAATACATGTAATCACTAGTTGTAATGCCTTTTTTATGTTTATTTGGAAGAGCTTAGTCCACTGGACGAGGGACCCACAGACCAAGTGGCAGATTATGGTGGATACCTATGCCCAGCACTGTACATCTATTGGCTGAAACTAACAAACAAGGTGTTATTAAGAAATAAAAGAGAAAAAAGCCTGAATCTCCTAATATACTAATACTGTATTCATTTTGTCTTTACCTAATTTAAACTATTGACCTTAATAAAAACTTCACAATTGAGATGTCTACAAACATTTTATGTTTACATTCAATATGTTTGGTAAGACTTCATTGTGCCACAACGAATTCAATTTGATAAATAGTTTTATGCATAGAGAAGTCTAATCAGCGGGTTTTAAGATTTCTATAATTCACATTTATTTTGAAAAAGCTGTACACTTTTCATGCATGTTTGTAAACAAATTAATGTCAAAACCATAAAATAGAATAGGGCTCAAGCGAAAGAGCTAATCACTAGATAAGTAACATTGTCACGATTAATATGCGTAATTTGGAAAATCAATCGACCATTATATTAGTAAATTCAAGACACAATTAAACTATTGCCACATAACATATTTCTTTCGAAACAGGATCTTTTTAACTAACCTCATTCCAATCGATAAAATATGTAATGGTATGAATCCTCTGAATTAGCAAAAAGAGCACGGATTTTGTTTAAAACTTAAAACACAATTCAATAGTTAACTAATAAAGCAATGGTAAACAACGATGACGAATGACCAAAGAGTAAATAAAATGACAGTGACAATAACCAGTGACAAAGATGTATGAGTGTATGACTATCATATGAACGAACGAAATGATTTTCCCAATAAATATAGAGATGCGCCCAAATTTGTAATTCATCAATTTTTTAATGTCGCTTATATTTTTAAAATCATCATCATCAGCTCACTATACTTTCCCACTGAGAATCTTAGAGACTACCATAAGTTAGAGATTACTAGGCCACAACGCTAGGCCAGGGTTGGTTGACTTTATACTTAACGTTGAATTTCTTCGCAGAGATCCATATTTTATATCTTCTTTGAGATATAAAATATGGATCCAATATCTGATACCAATATCTGCGGGATGCATTTCGATTTTTTCCTTATTCGGATACAGATGAAATTCGGAAATCTATAAACATATCCGTGTATGGCGGGATTCGAACTCAGGGGCTTCAGATAACAATAGAAGTCAAGTACTTAACCCGTGAATCACCAAAGAAATTACATACGATATAACATTTAATTAAGAAAGATTTTTCATTAATGTCTAAAGTCTGATTAGGAGCTAGCTAATTTAGTAGGAAAATGCCCGTAAGTCTGCTTTTCAAGGCAATATTCTGATATAAACCAAACAAATGAGTACAATGTTATTCTAATTTAAGCATGAACCAAAAATTGTGTTAATACATTTAAAAGAATGTAATTTTCATGATTTAGTTTTAGGAAATTAATGGAAATAAACTTGGCCTTCGGGGTGGTAGCGTCATGTTATGACATAATTGTTCGGTTCACTACGCATTTCGTGTGCCTTATTATTATTCAATTTAAAAAAAAAACAACGAATATATTTTAAAATCGTATATTAGAGGTTAATTTGAAAGTGGGGATTTAGATTTTAGTAGGAGAGTAGTAGGGCGATCCAGCAATTACATTTGAACATATAAATCACTAGCTTTCTAGAATTTAAAAAACAAAAGTGAGTAGCCTATGTGTTCTTCCAGACTATGCTCTACATCTATGACAATTTTCATCGAGATTCGTTCAGCCGTTTAGGCTACAAACTCTAACAAACATCCATCCATCCATCTAAACTTTCACATTTATAATATTAGAAAGATTTGTAAGAAAGTAAGAATATTAGTAAGATTATCTGTTTGTTGCAACGGGAACGTAATACTATTTGTTAATTTAAGAAATTTCCTGATTCCCAAGAAAATTTCAAAACGTAGTTTTTTGTTTTTATTTATTTTTACAGGAGGAAAAAGTAGTTTTAAAGCAATTAATTTTATTTTTTTGCAGATAGTTGTTTTTTTAATTTCCAATTTTAGCGACCAAACCCTTAGGTATGTTTTGTGTAACTGAAACCATTGCCTACATGATAATTCATCAACTAGGATTTGAATTTTTAACATACATATTACTTGAGTAATAAGAAAATACTGTGTGTAAGTGGGCTACATAAGTTCTTTAAATACAGAGTCTTCTTCTCGACAAACCAAGAGCATTTCCTAATTAGATTATAAAATATAAGTACTTCCTTCACAGTTTTCGTTTTCATGTTCAAAAGGGAAGAGTTTCCTTACACTGTGGAAATAATACCTTGCTGGTAGCTTTAAACTACATGCTCGTGGGCGCCCCCTTATTCCTTATTAAGGCCAATATAACGAAATTTATAGATTACTTCACATCAAATTTTAAGCAGGGTCAAACATATGTTATTAGCGAAAATAAATTTAAGTTATAAGTAGTTTTATCCACTTTTGATTCTTACTACCGAAGGTGGATGCTTTTTAGCAAATATACAATCAAATCAAACAACGAAGAAGTGAACACTGATATCGTGTAGTACTGTACTAAAAGTCCCAAATGTCCGATTAACAGAAGCCGTTCGGTAACGTTACTTTTAGTACAGTACCGAGTAACATTACTTTTTAGTACATCATACGTGTATTACCCAAGACTAGGCGCCTGTTTGCGTTCACACTATGCCAGTTAATTGGCGGTCCGACCAGAGCGCCAGTGACCAACTGTGCTGGCCAAGTGTAAGCCGCGCATAAATTATAATAGAGTAAGAGCTGTCATTTACATACAACGGCCTATCCATATATAGGGATCAGTGGTTGCCTCTATGTTTCGTTGTCGTTGGTCATTTGGTCATTATTGATTAATATAGTTCAGTTCATTCGTTGATTGCGATCGCGATTTGTCTGGTGTCTGGGGTCTGTCAGTCAACTGCAGATAGTATTTTATTGATTTTATCAAACTTATAATGGAGCCAAATCCTGTAATTATTGCTGCTACAGCAAAACAAACTGCTTCGGTAAGTTTTGTTACTATCCTTAAATTATACATTGAAAATGTTAGTACTAAAGCCAAGTTTGTTTGATTTCAGCTTATATTCTTACATGGTCTGGGAGACACTGGGTACGTATTATGTTATTTTCTGAGTACAGTTTTGACAAAATTTTGATTAATTTATTAATGATGTTCACAGCCATGGTTGGGCGAGTACGATTGCCGCTATCAGAGGTCCGCACGTAAAGGTGATTTGTCCAACCGCTTCTACTATGCCTGTGACACTTAACGCCGGATTTCGAATGCCTTCATGGTTTGACCTTCGAACTTTGGACGCTACAGCACCAGAAGATGAAGAAGGTATCCTGAAGGCAACAGAGCTTGTTCATGGTTTGATAGAGAATGAAATAAAGGTAGGAATATTTTTTCTTTATTATACAATTTGTATTAAGTAATACTAAACATGTACATGTTTTCTTGTAACAGAAATACTATCTTATGTGAAACTGTTATCAATAAATACAAAAAAAAACTATAAAGGTTTAGAAATCTGCTGTCAAAGAGGAAAAAAATAAAAATTACTTTTGATTTATAGTCTGGCATACCTGTGACCCGCATACTGTTGGGTGGATTTTCTCAAGGGGGAGCCCTAGCTCTGCATGCAGCCTTGACCTATCCGGACACTCTGGCTGGTGTCATGTCTCTATCTTGCTGGCTGCCTCGCCATGCTCACTTCCCTGATGCTGTTAAAGCTCCTACTATTATACCGGTATGTTAAATAATCCATGCTCTTTTATTATATTAGAGTTTGTCTTTGTGGAGGTGGAATGAATGAAGCATCAATATTTTGTTTGTTTTTAATTTGACATTTAGTGGTAAAGAAAAGTGTTTACTAATTTCGATGATGGAAACATATTTTTTTACCAATACTTAGGACTATGACACTACCTTAGACCCTTTAAGAATCAAATTTTGGATAATCCTAATTTATGCAATACTCGCTGTTGCCCGCGACTTCGTCTGCACAGTTTTAATAAAAACAAACTGCATATCACTTGTGAATCTGTAATTTTTATATATGTGCCAAATTTCAATAAAACATGGAACCATTGCAAAATTACAACAAAAGTAAAAATGAAATACAAATTAGTGTATCATAAGGAACCTGTAACTATTACAGGGATATAAAGTAGTCTATGTGTGCATCTATGCCAAATTTCATCAAGTATAGTTCAGCAGGCTACAAACTCTAACAACCCATCCATCCATCAGTGTAAACTTTTGCATTTAATGTATTAGTAAGATAAGATTCCAATTTGTTAGGCTCAGTAATTTAAGGCTGTGCTTTGAAATTGTATTGATTTCCTATTTCAAAATCAGGCATTTTTTTTATAATCGTCGCCTTTTTTTTACCTGCGATTTATAACATTATGTTTCAATAAAGGTATTAAAACCATTTTAAACCTGGCCAAATTTATTTAAATTATTTCTGTGAGATTTCTTATATAGGCTTTTTACATTACTATCCATTATTAAGACTTGTTTGCATAAAATAGTCTGATTAACATTTTGTGTTATTATGGGCTATTGTTTCATTAACTTTGCCTTCCATATTTGAATCATATTAGTAGGAAGTGAGGTCAAAGAGCTCTTTTGCCAAGAATCCATTGTCTTAATTTAAACACAAATTCAAAATTTGCCTTGCCATATTCTAAAATTAACCATCCACATGAATAGATTTGGTCAACTGACTACATATAATTATAATTCATAAATGAATTAAAGAATTGTTAATTCATGTTTATTCATACTTTTTTCTAACAGTAACTTTATGACGTAATTGTATTAACAAGTTTAATTAAGACATTAATATACATATTAACTCCTATACTTCATACTAATATTATAAATGTGAAAGTTTAGATGGATGGATGGATATTTGTTAGACTTTGTAGCCTAAACTGCTGAGCGGATTTCAATGAAATTTAGTATAGATGTAGAGGATAGTCTGGAAGAACGGATTTTCTTGCACTTTCGTTTTTTTTTATTTTACGCGGACGGAGTCACGGGCGAAATCTACTTTGTAATAAAGCGTAAATAAACACTACTTAGTAATATAAGATGTTGACAGTCAGTCAGACCATTTTTTAAACAATTCTATTTTTAATAAAAGGCCCTACACTTACGACACGCATTAGGCTATTTATTTTAACACAAATTGAAAAAACCGTAATGTGAGAATGGGACAAGAACTAGAAGCCAATAGCAAAGAACTAATGTTTCCTTGGTTACTCATAAACAATTCTCAGACTTTGTCAAGGGTGTTGTCATTTGTGCATTTGAATGTTGACATTTGCAATTGAAACTTTCATGAAATGTAACCAATAAAATTCAGTTTTTATAATGTCATGTCATCATACTTTTATACTATAAGTGCACAGGAACAGCTAGTCTTTATCTATCTATACTTTTATACTAATATTATAAAGAGGAAAATTTTGTATTTGTGTATGTATTGAACTATTGAACTATTTATAGTATAAAAGTGTGATTTGTGGTAAATCCTAACATTCACCATAATTTTGTACATTACAGTAACATATTATTTTTAATTTATTGTTATGGTGTAAATGAAAAAGTAAATAATTTGTCAATTTGGAAATATTGAATAATGCCAATATAATTCATATTTAATTTTGCAGGTATTCCAAGCTCATGGCGATTGTGACCCTGTGGTTCCATTCAAGTGGGGTCAGATGACTGCTTCATTCCTGAAAACTTTCTTGAAGAACATTGAATTTAACACATATCAAGGCCTTACGCACAGCTCCTCTGAAGAGGAACTGAAAGATATGAAAGTATTCATAGAAAGAATGTTGCCTCCCACATTATAAATTATTAAGAAAAGTTAACTCTTTTTAGTATGTACTTATGTAATGTATTTATTTTAAGAAGGTTATGAATTCTTCCTGCAAATTATTTTAAATAAATTAAAAAAATATAAACGAAATAGCCTGGTTTAATTTAAATTAAAGGAAACAGTTGGGATTATTTTAAAAGTTAAACTTCTAAGAATAAAGTAAATTAAAGAATCATCAAAGTTTTATTACATTTTGTGAAATCTCATAAAGCCATTTTGTAAAACCTTTTAAAACTTTATAAGATTGCAAAAATGATTGCGATTGTAAAGGCGGTTGCAAAAACATTAGTGTTTTTAATTATACTGTTATGTCTAACTTAACAAATTGATTAAAAAACAAGACGTTTGAATAAATTATAATTTATCTGAATAAGTATAAGTTGAGAAAAATCGGGTATGATTCTTTTCGATTTTACTTTCACAGAAAATCGAATCGATGGTTACACATCCATATTATACAAACCATAAAATTGGCTGTTTTTTTATTGCTTAATAAAAGGTAAATTAATAATAGGATATACAGAACAAACACAAAGTATTTATTACATATACGATCTTGCGTTGTATAATTGGAATTTATTATTTTAGTGTCATCTCTATGACTATTTTCACCACTAGAACTGTTCCTTAAGTTAATTCAAAAGTAAATAATAATTTTAGTTATATTCGATTATTTGAACCGAATATCGATAGTTCATAATATTCGCTATGTGGGTGACTATGTCACTCGTCTATTAGTTGATTCATTTACTTACTACCTTCATACAAACTTAATTCGATACTTCATATACGTGATTTATCAAACTAATCAATCTTAAATAGAAAAACCATGTTTAAAAATAATTTTGCAGTGTTATTGCACAAACGTAGCTGATTGAATAAAAGTAACAGGGAGTAATTCATTATATTTTCGAAAAAGGACATTTTGACTTCTGTGTTATGTACGTACTTTTCACAAGATTATGAATTGAAAATAAAATTGGTATTCCAATTCCCAACATTTTCTACAATAAATCACAGATTATCGAGAACCTACACAAGAACAAGTAATCGTAGATTTTTTAGCTTTTTATTTTTTTTATCTGTTATTGGACATAGACATTATAGTGTATCTAAATTATTTAGATTAGTTTGACAATTCACTTCAAATTTAGTAGGGATGGTTGTGTAAAATCAGTCATGAATCTTATCTATTTTCGATTTTTATTCTTATAGAAGTTGGAATCGATAGATTTATAGTTATAACTCATGAATAAAAAAAACACCGCTTTTTAAATTAATAATGACCATAACAAGTAATGAGAGTAAATAAATGTTTATTACTAGTACAGCCGTACGTAAATGAATTGGATTTCGCTATTGTTTCCGTCATCGCTAAATTCTCTACACTATAATCAATACTAGAATTGTCCTATAAATTAGTAAAAAGAAAAAATAATATTAGTTGAGTTCGATAATTATTTAAACCGAATATCGATAGTTTCTAAACTGTTCGCTATGCGTGTTTGTACGTCACTACGATACCTGGCTATATTAAGTATGGCTTTTACTTTCATACAAATTGAATTGATACTTCATATGCGTCATTTATCAAACTAATCTATCTTATTTAGACAAACTATAGACTTAAGCTTTTGTTTTATTTATGTCAATGTCACCAAATGTCATGATGAAAGTTGATGTCATGTGTCATATTGTAGTATCGCAATTATCGCATTCACAATCGATTTTAATAAATATATTGTTTTCGCTGGCCGAAACAGTATTATGTATATTCTAGAAAAGCGTGTAAGATTTTACGCTAGCTACACTAACTCCTTGGTTAATTTATAGTGTTTATTGGAAATAATAAAGTTAACAAAATGCCAAACTTGTTAAATTATAAATTTTGTGCATTAATATATTTATTTTATACTGTGTCATCATCATATGGTCACTATAAATCTGCGATTGAATTAAAAGAAAGTAAACATCATGATCATCAGATAAGAAGCCATTTGGAAACAAATATTTTAAATATTCCAGAAAAGTTGTCAAGGTCAAAAAGAGCTGAAAGTGCCCCAAACATACCCAGCTCAAGCGAGACTAGTTTAACTAGTGAAAGTTTAAAACCGTCGCTGCCTTCGACCTTGACAAGTTCCTCTACTGACGCCCCTGTTGTGTATGATATAGGACCTTCTAACTCTTCAATATTGACCATAATCCAAGTTAATGCGTCATCTTCATCAGCTACAAATATTTCTGATGTCAGCCCATCCGATGCGGCTCCTTTACCTGGTAAAAGTTCGGCGGAAGATGAACACAACAGTTCAATGGCTATATTTTTTGTGTTGTGTATATTGGCACTTGGCATATTGTTAATACATCTGATGTTGCAAACAGGATTTTCTTACTTACCTGAAAGTGTTGTTATAGTGTTCCTTGGTGCTTTGATTGGGATGATTATAAATTTAATGTCAATCAGGAATATAGCAAACTGGAGGAAGGAAGAGGCATTTTCACCGACTGCTTTCTTTTTAGTATTGCTTCCACCAATTATCTTTGAATCTGGCTATAATTTGCACAAAGGTAACTTCTTCCAGAACATTGGGTCCATATTACTTTTTGCAATAGTGGGGACAGCTATATCTGCATTTGTCATTGGTGCAGGAATATATCTGTTAGGTTTGGCTCAAGTGGTGTATAAATTGAGTTTTGTGGAATCATTTGCATTTGGTTCATTGATTTCGGCCGTTGACCCGGTGGCTACAGTTGCCATATTCCATGCCTTGGATGTAGATCCAGTTCTGAATATGTTGGTGTTTGGTGAAAGTATTCTTAATGATGCTATAGCTATAGTACTCACTACTGCTGTCTTAGATTCAAATGATCCAATGATGTCAACATATGAGGCTATTTTATCAGCTATCAATAGGTTTTGGTTAATGTTCTTTGCATCTGCTGGTATTGGTGTTGTGTTTGCACTAATCAGTGCTCTGTTACTCAAACATGTTGATCTTCGCAAGAATCCATCCCTTGAGTTTGGTATGATGTTAGTATTTACTTATGCACCATATGTATTGGCTGAAGGAATACATTTATCAGGTGAGTTCTTTATTATTTCTTGAGGAATTTTGTGGTAAAACTTTAATTATATAATACAAGCACTTTTTTTCTTTTTTTTTATAGGGACTGGTTTTACTAGAACATGTCAGACCCATTATACCTTAAACTAAAAACTGAAACCGTACAATTATAAACAAACACAATACAAAATAAGAAAATGAAAAATAAAGAAAAACCATAAATAGTATTTACGAATTGCTATAAAGACTTTAACACCAATACAAACATTATGTATGTTACAGGTATTATGGCGATCTTGTTCTGTGGTATTGTTATGTCACATTACACACATTTCAACTTGTCAACTGTAACGCAAGTGACAATGCAGCAGACTATGAGGACACTGGCCTTTATTGCTGAGACATGTGTATTTGCTTACTTGGGTTTAGCTATTTTCAGGTAATTTGAACATTTATAAACTTTGATTAGTATAAGTTTTAAATCTAATTTAAATTTACATAAGTTATGTACAAATAAAGCATGTAAATGTGTACAACAAATCAATTATTGAATACTTTTACTTGATAAATAAAATCAAGATTTTACTTAGAATTTTGATATAAGAATATTAGAGAACATGTTAATACACAAATTTATAAAGATAGTACTATCTATTAATGATTCTAGTTTTAAACAAGATAATTCTTTAGTGTACCAAAAGTAATGCTGTAAACTTGTATGAATAAAGATAAGGAAAGAAATATAAATATAATCAAGGATAGACTATGACTTTTTTATTAGAATCATTTTTATATTAACATAATGTAAATAAAATGCATGTCAGCAAAAGATAACATGGTAATGATTTTAGATGCATAGTACTATACCTCCTATTGGTCATCTCAGTATTTTGTAATATATGTACATAACTTGTAAGATAGTAGTAGTGACATGATTGTGCATTACATGAACTTTTAGATAATGTTTTAAAAACGATAACCTGATCAATGGTTTAGGAATGCATTCAACTTTTATTTAAGCATATGCATTTTCAATTTTTAATATAAATGAAAAAAATAAAGTGAAAATCTTATCTTTTTTAATGTTGCGTAAAATTGATATAAAGTTGCATTAGCACCACTTACTGTACACTAACATACATATACAATTTATTTTCAGTTTCCGACATCGCGTAGAGCCGGCCCTAGTTGTGTGGAGCATTGTAATGTGTCTGTTGGGACGGGCGGCTAACATCTTCCCACTCGCGTTACTTTGTAATAAATTTAGAGAGCACAAGATTACTAAGAAGATGATGTTTATCATGTGGTTCAGTGGTATGTTTTGTTATAATTTGATATTTTATAACCTTTTCTTTTTTGATTATGAATACATTGTAATAATAACTCTTATAGGATTGCGAGGTGCAATTTCTTACGCACTGTCTCTACATCTGGAGTTCTCTGACGAGACGCGGCACGTCATTATAACGACGACGCTTATCATCGTGCTTGTCACCACCTTGTTCTTTGGAGGCTCTACAATGCCCTTGTTGAAATTCTTACGCGTAAGTTTTGTTGTCCATCATTTTCCTTATGGATTATGTACATTTTTTTTACAATGTTGAGTGTTTTAACCAAATTTATTAATTATCACCAATATGGTTTTGTAGGAATTATCTTGGGTCAAATCTTAAAGAGAATAAAAATTTTAAGGATTTGTATATGAAATTGGTGTTGATAATTTAATTTAATATAGGTTTTTTTCCGCAGGCTAACAAGAAATCAAAGCGGTCACGTTCTCAAAGAAAACAGAAGGAAGTTAGTTTGTCTAAAACAAAGGAGTGGGGTCAGGCCATAGACTCGGAGCATCTCTCTGAAATAACAGAAGAGGAACTTGAAGTAAGTAATGTTTATCTAACATTTAAGTTAAAAAAGGAAAACATTTAAAATTAGACAAAATTTGTACTAATGTAATGAAATACTTTTATGATTTCAGGTTAATTATTCTCATGCAACGAGATTGAAAGGCTTTGTACGGCTGGACATGAAGTATTTGACACCTTTCTTCACTAGAAGATTTACACATCAGGTTTGTTTAACCTTATTTTCATACTTTTATTCAATTAAGTTATAAATTTTCTGGAAAGAAATCGTAATAAACAAAGAATATAATTTATAAAACATGGAATCTGGGTAGCAATGTTAAATGCCACTTGGGATGTGAAGGGTTAGTAGATTTAGCAGATGTGGGGACACATGTAGGGGAAAATATCCTCAGTTGATTAAGTTAGCAATGCATCCGCAAATGTCTATGGGCAATAATGACTATTGTAGCAATTCCGCTGGCTTGTTCACCTGATACTATAATTTTTTTAGGAGTTGAAGGATTGCAAGAGTCAAATGACAGATCTGACGAACCAGTGGTACCAGGCTATCAGGATATCAAACGACCACGACACAGACGAGGACGAGATTTTGCAGCAAAACTCACTCTCTAACTCAACCACCACTCTACAGAGAGGGGTCTAATGATCATTTTCACCAACTATCCATTAAATTTAAAGCTCCGTATAACAATTAGGAGTCCCTAGTAAGATACCAATGTTTGTCTACTAAGTTTATCATTTTGCTTTAGACTTTAGTAGATGATTGGTGAAAATAGTCTTAAGTATATTAATTTATTTGTATTAGCATATATAATCAGCTTTACAAAATTATATAAGTATTTATGAAATGCACAAATGTCATAGACATAGAAAATATTATGAAATATTTTAAATATCTCAGTTTGTCATTTTTTTTCTATTTCTCTGGTCTATTAGAATATATATTAATGGTTTAACAAATAAGTCAATGTCATAGATTATTTGCTAATAAGGTGTAACCGGCCAAAGTTAGCATAGTATTTTTTTTACTCCATTCGACAAATATTTTTGTTGCCATAATAATATATTGACATGTTACCAAATTGATGTGCCTAGAATTAACTATCATAATGTGTTTATTTATATAGTCTGTATAAATTTTATATTTCAGGATTTATTTGTTTTTATGCAGCTGTTTTAATGTATTTTTTTAAACTGACTTATTTCCTATAACATTATAGGACTGTAGTAAAATCTATTATTGTAAGAGAAAATGAAACGAACTCTTACATCTGGTTTGCTGAATTGTATGATAGCTATTTAGATTGTGGTGCTGGCACAACTTTGTTACTTCTAAATTAAAAGTCATTCAATTAATGTTATTTTTTGGTGTATCTGAAGGTTATATGAGATAATATTGTAGTGTTTATAAAGTACTACCCAAATTTTATCACCATCAGAAGAATAATTAAAAAATTATTTTCATTCATATATATCAATAACATTAATGGCTTTAAAAATCATATATATGTCTTATAAAAATATTCTTTTTTTTTTGTAAATCCTGTCAAAGATGACAAATACTGCCTAAACAGTAATGTTTATAATATTTTGTGTTCTGTTCCATCATACTATTTATTTAATGAATGTTTTATATTTGTGATAATTAATGTAAGAAATAAAATTATTGCTATTGCTTAATTGCATGCTTAGTATCAACTTTGATGTGTGAAACATATTATCACTTGCTACTATTGTATATGATAGTATATAGAAGATTATTGCAAAGAAAAGTAAAATGTTCATATTCTTATAGAACCTTGGTTCTTGTTTTTTTTTGCGTAAATCTATATATTTTAATTATGTTGACATTTTAATTAAAACATGTAGTGTAAAAATTATGTTTGTTTTAAGCATAAGTATTATTAGAAATAATTCAATCTCTAGTACAATTTATTTATTTTATAGCAATTATAAAGAGAGTGCAGTATTATTTGTTTATCAACATTTCCACCATAATATAGTGAAATCTTACATAAAAATAAAATTCGTCCAACATTTATGTAAATTGCTGTATCTTAGAAATATGAAACAGATTATTTGCAAAGAAATCTTTTAAGATATATGGTTATTACTTACTTTAGTATTGTTGCACAAATTGTCTATTACAAAGGTTTTGAATAGTATTACCTGAACAAACCATTTTTATGCAAAATGTGTCATTAAAATATGGAAAATTAAAGTTTGTGAGTAGTAATTAATAGTGTGTTTTTATTATACAATTTTTGACATTTTGTTAGAATTGAATATCAAATGTCTTTGTATATATTTAATGAAACAGTACTTATATGTATACATTTTATTTAGTTTGGTTAATTGTTCTGTTCCTGCTAATCATGTGATAAATATATGGTTATACAAAGATTGTTTTATTTTCCATAATTTGTAATTTAAACTAACCATGTTATTTAAACTGGGCATACCAAACTGTAGGTTATTAGTTTTACTATAATTACAAAAAAAATTGAACTGACACGTATGCTTTTATACACTTAATTTAGTGATGAAATATTTAAATATGTTCATTTTCATAAATTAGTTTGTTATTTAAAGTTAATAAGAAAATTACCATTAAGAGTTAGAAAAAGCATCTTGCAGTATCTAATCCTCCTCATTTTCCAAATTAATGTGACTTCCAAACTTGCCGTACAAGTGTACTTTCAGTTCTCCCATCTGAGACTTCAGTTCAGCATATTTTGCATGCAATTCTTTTATTTCATCATCCTTCTTTGATTTTGTGACCTCCAAAGATTTCTGGAAGATTAGATACAAATTATTGGAGGCTTATTATTATTTCAGAAAAACACTTTTAAAGTTCTACTTCTGGTTTGATGTATCCATATTCACTTCTAATATGTAAGGATTGGATTGTAATAGATGATGTCTGTAATTTTTATTAAAGCAACATGTGTTGAGATAAAAAAAAAACTCATTTTAAACGGACTAACTGTATGTATTAGTAGTAGTAAGAAAAGTTGAGGTTATGTCCACAATATGGGTTTTTAATTTACAAAATACACTTACTAAGGTCTCCTCCAAGCTTTGGCATACGAATACCTCGCCAATTAGGTAAGGAATTTTCTCTGTATCGTCAGCAAGACCTAATTCGTCCACTGCCTCATCCAGATTTTTTAAATCGTTTTGCTTCGTTTTGAGCTCTTGTTTTATGTCATCAACCTTAGCATTTAATCTTGCGAATTTGTTTATTTTCTGTTGATCTTCGAATGATATATGAACATCAGAATCCTAAATAGAGGAAAGGTGAAATAATTTAAGCTGAAATTAATAGGAATTCTATTTATGGAAAAGTATCCTTACCGGTTGAAAAGTGCCTTTTCCTGAACTTGCCATTTTGAAGTTTCGAAGTAGCACTAGTTTTTGTGAAAAATAGCTTAGAATAGCTTGTAATATTTGTGTTTTTAGTTATTCAATACACCAAATAAATAAATTTTTTAACCCAACAGTAAACTGAAATAAGGTTTGACAGTTTGACGTTTGAGTTTGACATTTCTGTGTTAGGGGCATAAGGGCACTTTTAGCCAAAATTGAATTAAAAGACCAATATTAATTATAAAAAGTTATAATCAAAAATAATAATTTCATCATATATATAATTTCAGTCCTTAAATTACACTATTCACCTTATGTATGCAATACACAAGAACATACTGAAAGAGTAATTAAAAATAATCACACATCGAGGGTAGTACAAAATTTTGGTAGAAGCTCGTATTTACTCTGTTTACACTTGAGAACAAAAAGATTTTTTTTTATCTTCATAGCACGAGGCACAAAAAACTTTAATATTAAAGTTTAAAAAACTTTAATATTAAAGTTTTTTGTGCCTCGGAATATGGCATATGGGAATATGGATTCTTGGCCGAAGTTGTACATCATACTGCCACCAAGATATACAGTATCGGTATAATTATATGAGAATCATAATTATCGCAGAAATAATGACTATAAGGTTAATTATACTCAAACGATAAAGAAATCAGATTTCTTTTTTAATGGAGAAAGTTAATAAAAATAGCATTTTACATAAAGAGCGCGTACAAATGGCGGCAATTGCGCGACGGTGATACCTAATCGATTGATTTCGCCAACTGCGCAGCCGCGGTCATGGCTGTTCGTTATACCTCACTGTTTACCAACACTTATTTGTTAGAATAGTAAAAATAAAACGAATCGCACACAGGCTACATTAAATTAATCCTTTAGGTGGCCGCTGGTACGTTTGCTATCTTATAACCTATTTTCTACTCGACACCATACTAGTTGAGGATGGTATAGTAGTCGTTGCTATTTTTTTAAACAAATATTTGAATGGTAGCACTTTAACCAAATTGCATTAGTGATCCTTTAACAAAACAAAAGACGTTTGAAATTAAAAAGTGGTTCCATAGCTAGATAATTTTAAACAATGTCCTTAAACCGTTGCTACGTGGATTTGTCGGTTAAGCTTTTGGAACAGAATCATGTTGATGGATGATTTTTCATGTATTTAACTGAAATTTTAGCCCAAGAAAATAAAATATACAATCTATGAAATTGCGATTAGTTACTTGGTAAAATGAGAACATTAGTTTATGTTTGATAGCGTTATGTTTATCGACGATGATGTCAAAAGCTTCGAGAAACTAAATTTTGCAAAACATTCTTGAGTAACACAAACTTAATATTCAGACATAGAGTTAACTTGAAACTGAAAAAGATTTCATAATAAAAATCAAACGACAAATTAGTCAGTATTCCTTTAGGCCATAACAGGGAATGTAGGACAGGCTATCTCATGTGGTACTTAGACCTTAACTGATCGCTTTGTAGTACATCCGTGTAAAAGGTTGGCCGATGTTCTAGCATCAGCAAGCGAACAATACATCATACAATCACCATCTCCTTGCGGCGACCCCACCACTCGTCGAAGCCGTTCACTCGCTCGCCTTCGTTTCGACGCACTCCTGTTTTGAACGTCAGTCGATACGCGCGTACAATACAAATTCATTTTTTTTTCGTGACATTCAGCCGTGATGGAGAAGGAGCACCAGCCGGATTCAATGGCGACGATCACCATGAAGCCGGAATACCCGCCCTCAGAAGTGTACAG